TTCGGTCATTCAATAGGTCAGTTGTCCACTTCTCGTAATCAGTGATGATAAATTTCTGTTTGAGTAGCTCGAACTATCATGCATGCATAAAATAGCTTCATGAAATTTACCCCTTATGCCAATTTTCTGAAGTTTATACCACAAACAGTTTCTATTTACATTGTCGAACGCTTTCATCGCATCAATGTAGCACACAAACGTTGACTGTCTTGAAATTTTCCGAGTATGAATCACAGAATACAGAGTATATAAATGTTCATGGGTACTTCTTTTCCTACGGAAGCCATCAGCAAGTATTTCATATTCTTCCAGCCACTTGGACAGACGGTTGTTCAGAATATCAGAGTATAGCTTACAAGGTACAGATGGCAGAGTTATGCCACGACAGCCTAAATGGTCTCTTTGGTCAGTCTCAATATAGCTTTCAATATAGGATGAATAATTCCATTTTTGCACAAATCAGGGCAACACTTCGTCTCGAAACAGTAGATAAACAGCTTAAGTAAAATATCTACGCAACCTTTATTTTTCAGGGCCTCTGCCGGTATCAAGTCTGGTCCTGCATATTTACCACGCTTTGCCCTGGTAATAGTTTCAACTTCAGCTCGTGTGATCGTAGAATCTAAAATACTTGTAACAAAGTTAAGTTCAGGGACAACAGAGTTACTAATTACTTCTTTGTTGATGTTGTGGAAATGTTCGCTATCAAATCGATCGCCGTTCTCGGAATTAAACAATGAGCTATAACCTGACTTCCATGTTTCCAACACTACTTGTCTATCAGATGATATGCCACCCTCACAGTTAACTTCCCATGGGATCGAACTTGTTCTGTCATAAGCCACACCAATTTTGCCTATCGTTTTCCAGAAGTCACGAGAATCCGAGTTAACATGCTTATCAAGCAAACGCTATTGCTCCGATAGCTGATGGTTACGCTTAAACTTTGGTAAAGTCTCCTAAAATCACTTCCTGGCAGAAATAAAGTCACGCTTGAGTTCTCGTTTCCTTATCACGACTTGCACTTTAACCACTGGCGCTCGGAATCACAAGAACTCTCCTATAAACACTGAAGCTGATCTGACCAGTACGGCTTAGCATACGATTTACTCTTAGCACTGCGTGGCCTTCTGTAACTTGAACAACCTACCACATTGTCCAGTTTGGCGTGGATAAAGCTTACAGAGTCACTATAAGCTGCGTTCACGTCATTCTGCGAAGATGGTTTACCTTCTATTTTAGCTATGGTTTCATTTAATTTGCTAACACTATCATCACATTATAAAAACGACTCTGGAATTCTACCCTGCCTATATTCCTTAGACTGTGTGTGTAAGCATCTCTCATTCGTGGTGTCACGAACAGCACTGCTGTGACCATCAGGTGAGGAAATGTCCCATGTTAGAATGGAGGATCCGGTATACTGTCAGGAAGGTTTGCTGCAGAAACCAGGGATGATTCATGACATCCGCAATACATTAAAAGTTTCAAATCCTGATAAATGTTCATGAGCGGTTATAACAGTCCACAACTGATGAGCCATTTTTCACATAGGTAAAATCTTGCTCTCCAACCCGACCGTTGACAATGCACAAATTGCACTGTTAAGAAATCAATTAATAAAGCGCCATAAGAATGTTCACTGAGGTCTATTACTTGTCGTTCTGGAACTGAATCTACACCTGCTATAAAGTCCTGCTCCAACACGGGCATTTAAATCACCACACTGGCATACTATGCCTTCATTTTGATACATGTAAATGCTTTCTAATAATTTGTCAAAAAGCAGTTCACCATCATTCACACGACTGGAACATATGGACGACAGATAACACCCACATAAAACAATACTAAAACTGTCATCATACTTTGACGTTAACTTAAACCACATACTATCTTCCACGTCTGGAACAACGTGTCAAATGTCAACAATAAAATCTTGCAGAAAAGAGTTTTTGAAAAATGCCCAGACTCCTCCGGATCCACGCTTGGATTTCTTATTGTTTATAAGAAGACGGTCAGATACGGCTCATTCACCCGCGAAAGAGATTCGGCGACGGCAGCAACAGCGTTGGGACATCCCATTAGCCAACGTACAGTAAGTACTACGACGACTTCGTGCTGCTGGAATCCGAGCGTATCGTTCTTTACGAGGAATGGTACTGACTGCTCCACACTGCGATGGACGAGGCAGGTTCGACGCTGGAAAGTGAGAAATTGGCGTAGAGTGTTGTTTACTGATGAAAGTCGGTTTAACTTGTTTCGAAATGACGGCAGAGAACGAGTTTATCGACGCAGAGGGAAACGTTTGGCTCCGGCGTGTATTCGAGAGGTCCATCCATTCGGCGGGGGAGGTGTCATGGTGTGGGGCGGTATTTGTGGAGATCAGAAGACTGATTTGGTGATTATACCGGGAAACCTGAACGCTGTGCAGTACAGAGACCAAGTGTTGCAGCCAGTTGTGCTTCCGTTCTTACAAAACAAACACCAGGGGCCATTGTTTCAACACGACAATGCCAGGCCCCATACTGCAAGACTGACTCGGAACTTTCTAAACCAGCAGAACGTTGACGTTTTGCCCTGGCCTGCCCACTCTCCCGATATGAATCCTATTGAACATCTGTGGGACCATCTTGACAGACAGATTAGAGCACGCCATCAGCCTCCCGTCAACAGACAAGAATTGCAGCAGGCCCTGAGAGACGAGTGGCAACGGATTTCAGTCCACGTCATCAGAAGACTGACGTCATCGATGAGGCGGCGTTTCACAGCATGCATTGAGGCAGCTGGAGGTCATACACGCTATTGAAGGAAACTGTGTCGACAATGAACTTGTAGTGTGTCTGACAATTTTTGGCGACATTTCAGACAATTTTTGAAAATGATATTTCTTACCCCGCCATTGTTTACCTTGAGCTTACATTACCTGTGATTGCACAAATTCATTCAAACTGTGGTTGATCAATCATTTGTTAACCCCTCCCCAGATTATATTCTTGTTATTTTTTTTATCGATCATGGAACTCGACCTATACTTTCTTTCGCCGCCCAGTTTATATCGCAACTTGGTGACGTTGTAATTGAGAGGGGAATGTCTAGTAAGTGGTTCCCCATAAATGTAACGCAGATGAACGCGGTGGCGGGAGACACATAACAATCAGTTATGGGAGAAAAGGTACAGGTAATCGACGTGAGGATTGTGGGAATATGCGGGAAATACCCACCTGTGCATTAAATGGACTTGTCCGACGTTGCCGAGGTTGGATTATATTGAGGGAGTCATCATTTAAATACGGGGAAATATTTTTTAAGCTTGTAAATTTTATCATCATCCTGAAAAAGGCTGTACATAATGTTGATATCTCATATAAGAAAAAAACGCAGGGCGCATGAACCATTCGTGGCTGCGCTCCTCAATTATTTTGGCAACACGCGGATCTACAGTGTGCATACCTTATTTACGTTTATACGCCCATATACGCTGTGGGGTAGCCTAGTAGTTAAAGCGTTCGCTCGTCACGCCGAAGACCCGGGTTCGATTCCCGACATGGGTACAATGCGTGAAGCTCATTTATGGTGCCCTCTGCCGTGATATTGCTGGAATATTGCTTAAAAGCGGCATAAAACCATACTCTCACGACAGTGATATGAAGCATAGTTTATATCAGCAATGATTGTTTGTTTGTTGTTTATTGTTGTTGAACGCCGCACTCTTCAAGCTCTATGACGTCGGTCTGTACATAATCGATTCTGGACCAGACAATCCAGTGAGCATCATGAGCATCGATCTACATAACAGGCATACGATGATACCCGATCCCGTTAGTCGTCTCTTACGACAAGCATAGACGCCTTTTACGGCTATCATGGGTTGCTGAAGACCTATTCTACCCCGGATCTTCACGGGTAAAAGGGATAACAAAGTTTCTATGTAAATATACACATGTTTTCATGTGTAATTGGGTCACTGAGTCCTGCCAATCTGAATACATGCTCATTATATCCAATTTAAGTTTATATACACCTTGATACAACATTGAGTTCTGCTATATTTTTCAGTCAATAATTCGTTCAAGTACAGACAAGGGGATAGCGTTGTAGTTTCTAAGAAACCTTCCATGAAGGACTGCTAATTTGTCTGCAGCTGGGGTAGCACAGGAAAAGTTCGAATCCCAGCATTTGGTGGCGACCAGTCGGATCAGTACAGATCTGCGCACCCTCCGCTTGTGATGTGTTAATGTCTTACAATGGTCCTTCTCTCGTGTGTGAATGTCTTACAATGGTCCTTCTCTTGTGTGTGAATGTCTTACAATGGTCCTTCTCTTGTGTGTGAATGTCTTACAATGGTCCTTCTCTTATGTGTGAATGTCTTAAAATGGTCCTTCTTTTGTGTGTGAATGTCATACAATGGTCCTTCTCTTGTGTGTGAATGTCTTACAATGGTCCTTCTCTCGTCTTTGAATGTCTTACAATGGTCCTTCTCTTATGTGTGAATGTCTTACAATGGTCCTTCTCTTGTGTGTGAATGTCTTACAATGGTCCTTCTCTCGTGTGTGAATGTCTTACAATGGTCCTTCTCTTGTGTGTGAATGTCTTACAATGGTCCTTCTCTCGTCTTTGAATGTCTTACAATGGTCCTTCTCTTATGTGTGAATGTCTTAAAATGGTCCTTCTTTTGTGTGTGAATGTCATACAATGGTCCTTCTCTTGTGAGTAAATGTCTTACAATGGTCCTTCTCTTGTGTGTGAATGTCATAGATTGGTCCTTCTCTTGTGTGTGAATGTCATAGATTGGTCCTTCTCTTGTGTGTGAATGTCATAGATTTGTCCTTCTCTTGTGTGTGAATGTCATACAATGGTCCCTGATATATACTTCTTGGCGTGTGAATGACATACGAGAATCCTTCTACAGGGGCCAGCTGATTAAACAGGAGAAGTAAATCCAAGAGAACCCCTGTCAAGATATGATGATGTTGGTTGTTATTTTAAGATTGTTTGTGTTACTCTCCGTCGTCCCGGGCATCATTGCTGCCTTGAGCATCACCATTAACATCAACCTCCTCTTCATCTACCTCCTCTTCATCTACCTCCTCTTCATCTACCTCCTCTTCATCAACCTCCTTTTTATCTACCTCCTCTTCATCAACCTCCTCTTCATCTACCTCCTCTTCATCAACCTCCTCTTCATCTACATCCTCTTCATCTACCTCCTCTTCATCTACCTCCTCTTCATCTACCTCCTCTTCATCAACCTCCTCTTCATCTACATCCTCTTCATCTACATCCTCTTCATCTACCTCCTCTTCATCTACCTCCTCTTCATCAACCTCCTCTTCATCTACCTCCTCTTCATCAACCTCCTCTTCATCTACCTCCTCTTCATCTACCTGCATATGCGGCGACGACTGGGTACTTCTATAAGGCTTTGAAGAGTATTTTGTTCTCCGCAGTTCTCCAGCTCCACATCACTTTAGAAGTAGGGTAACTGATTACCGTGTTTCAAACAGACCCACGGAAAGGAAAGGGTTGACTAGTTGTATAATGTAATTGTCTGGTGAATGTGTATGGAGCATGGCAAGTGTGTTTAGTGTGCAGATCATGATTCCATTAATATGATCTTTGACAGTTGGTATTTTTTACAGTGACCACTCTCCTACGGTCACCGGTACAACACCTTTAGAACGGGCTCCAATGCACAACGTCTTTACTACAGGCTCCGGTACACAGCAGCGGAACTTCAGGATCCGTTACACAGAAACATACTGACAACAGGCTTAACAAAGTAATGTCGGGCTCCGCAACACAGCAATAACTTACAATATAACTTCAGGTTCCACAACACAGCAATAACTTACAATGTAACTTCAGGCCCCGCAACACAGCAATAACTTACAATGTAACTTCAGGCTCCACAACACAGCAATAACTTGCAATGTAACTTCAGGCTCCACAAAACAGCAATAACTTACAATAGAACTTCAGGCTCCACAACACAGCAATAACTTACAATGTAACTTCAGGCTCCACAACACAGCAATAACTTACAATGTAACTTCAGGCTCCACAACACAGCAATAACTTACTATGTGTCTTTAGGCTCCACAACACAGCAATAACTAACAATGTGACTCCAGGCTCCACAACACAGCAATAACTTACAATGTCACTTCAGGTTCCACAACACAGCAATAACTTACAATGTGACTCCAGGCTCCACAACACAGCAATAACTAACAATGTAACTTCAGGCTCCACAACACAGCAATAACTTACAATGTAACTTCAGGCTCCACAACACAGCAATAACTCACAATGTAACTTCAGGTTCCACAACACAGCAATAACTTACAATGTAACTTCAGGTTCCACAACACAGCAATAACTTACAATGTAACTTCAGGTTCCACAACACAGCAAGAACTTACAATGTAACTTAAGGTTCCACAACACAGCGATAACTTACAATGTGACTTCAGGCTCCACAACACAGCAATAACTTACAATAGAACTTCAGGCTCCACAACACAGCAATAACTAACAATGTAACTTCAGGCTCCACAACACAGCAATAACTTACAATGTAACTTCAGGCTCCACAACACAGCAATAACTCACAATGTAACTTCAGGTTCCACAACACAGCAATAACTTACAATGTAACTTCAGGTTCCACAACACAGCAATAACTTACAATGTAACTCCAGGTTCCACAACACAGCAATAACTTACAATGTGACTTCAGGCTCCACAACACAGCAATAACTTACAATAGAACTTCAGGATCCACAACACAGCAATAACTTACAATGTAACTTCAGGCTCCACAACACAGCAATAACTTACTATGTGTCTTTAGGCTCCACAACACAGCAATAACCTACAACGTAACTTCAGGTCCCATAACACAGCAATAACTTACAATGTGACTTTAGGTTCAACAACACAGCAATAACTTACAATGTAACTTCAGGTTCAACAACACAGCAATAACTTACAATGTAACTTCAGGTTCCGCAACACAGCAATAACTTACAATGTAACTTCAGGCTCCACAACACAGCAAGAACTTACAATGTAACTTAAGGTTCCACAACACAGCGATAACTTACAATGTGACTTCAGGCTCCACAACACAGCAATAACTTACAATAGAACTTCAGGCTCCACAACACAGCAATAACTAACAATGTAACTTCAGGCTCCACAACACAGCAATAACTTACAATGTAACTTCAGGCTCCACAACACAGCAATAACTTACAATGTAACTTCAGGTTCCACAACACAGCAATAACTTACAATGTAACTCCAGGTTCCACAACACAGCAATAACTTACAATGTGACTTCAGGCTCCACAACACAGCAATAACTTACAATAGAACTTCAGGATCCACAACACAGCAATAACTTACAATGTAACTTCAGGCTCCACAACACAGCAATAACTTACTATGTGTCTTTAGGCTCCACAACACAGCAATAACCTACAACGTAACTTCAGGTCCCATAACACAGCAATAACTTACAATGTGACTTTAGGTTCAACAACACAGCAATAACTTACAATGTAACTTCAGGTTCAACAACACAGCAATAACTTACAATGTAACTTCAGGTTCCGCAACACAGCAATAACTTACAATGTAACTTCAGGCTCCACAACACAGCAATAACTTGCAATGTAACTTCAGGCTCCACAACACAGCAATAACTTACAATAGAACTTCAGGCTCCACAACACAGCAATAACTTACAATGTAACTTCAGGCTCCACAACACAGCAATAACTTACAATGTAACTTCAGGCTCCACAACACAGCAATAACTTACAATGTGTCTTTAGGCTCCACAACACAGCAATAACTAACAATGTGACTCCAGGCTCCACAACACAGCAATAACTAACAATGTAACTTCAGGTCCCATAACACAGCAATAACTTACCATGTGACTTCAGGCTGCACAACACAGCAATAACTAACAATGTGACTCCAGGCTCCACAACACAGCAATAACCTACAACGTAACTTCAGGTCCCATAACACAGCAATAACTTACAATGTGACTTCAGGCTGCACAACACAGCAATAACTAACAATGTGACTCCAGGCTCCACAACACAGCAATAACTAACAATGTAACTTCAGGCTCCACAACACAGCAATAACTTACAATGTAACTTCAGGCTCCACAACACAGCAATAACTTACAATGTAACTTCAGGTTCCACAACACAGCAATAACTTACAATGTAACTTCAGGTTCCACAACACAGCAATAACTTACAATGTAACTCCAGGTTCCACAACACAGCAATAACTTACAATGTAACTCCAGGTTCCACAACACAGCAATAACTTACAATGTGACTTCAGGCTCCACAACACGGCAATAACTTACAATAGAACTTCAGGATCCACAACACAGCAATAACTTACAATGTGACTTCAGGTTCCACAACACAGCAATACCTTACAATGTAACTCCAGGTTCCACAACGCAGCAATAACTTACAATAGAACTTCAGGCTCCACAACACAGCAATAACTTACAATAGAACTTCAGGTTCCACAACGCAGCAATAACTTACAATAGAACTTCAGGTTCCACAACACAGCAATAACTTACAATGTATCTTCAGGTTCACAACACAGCAATAACTTACAATGTAACTCCCAGGTCCCATAACCCAGCAATAACTTACAATGTAACTTCAGGCTCCAGTTGCTGCATTACATACATTACTACTTTTAGCCGAATCAATGAGTTGTGTGTCATTTCCTTTTCTTTTATGACCATAAACTTTTAGTTATGGTGTCTTTAGTCAGCTAACTTAATATGGCACCGTATACGGCAACTGCAGACACCATAACGAATTTATTAGGCCGAAAAGTTTACACTCTCTGGTATCCATATCGCTACGAGCAAAGCATTTGACAGCCATTGCTGACGTCAAAGGGAGACCACTCTTCAAACCTTAGAGGCCAAACCTTGTTGAAAATTTTAACTATAATCTTTATCAATAAAGTCACGAACGTGATCTTAAAAACAGATTAATGTCCTTGCACATCACAATCAATGATAGTAAAACACAAAACAGTGTCAAATTACGAATTTCGGTACAAGAATTGCCATTTGAAATGTGAGGCGGGTGTTGGAAAATCCAAGATGGCTGTTACTGCCGGTATACGGGCTCATGTGGGGTCGGTAGTTCTGCTCTCTGATTGGTCAATCTCACTTTGGGGCATAATACTTTTCGTTATGGTGTCTTTAGTTGCCGTATACGGTGTCATATTAGGGAAGCAGAAACATATTGGGCGAGGCGTCAGTTAACCTTATATGACACCGTAAACGGTAACTAAAAACACCATAACGAATTTATTATGCCGAAAGGTTTACACTATTTGGTATCTTTGTCGCACATGTCATGTCAAAACTTAAAACTTAAAACATAACACTTACAACCTAAGACGTTAAGGGTCAAAGGGAGACTACTCTTTAAACCTCAGAGCCCAAACTTTGTTGATAATTTTAAATTTATATAATCTTATAAAAGTCACGAACGTGATCCAAAAAAACATGAACGTCCTTGCATATCAAAATTAGTTATATGAAAACACAAAACAATGTCGAATAACGAATTTCTGTACCAGACTTTTCATGTGAAATATGTGAGGTGGGTGTTGAAAAATCCAAGATGGCTTTTACTGACGGTATACTGTCTCATATAAGGTCAGTATCAACGATCTTGGAATTTTACTGACGGTATACGGGCTCATGTAGGGTCAGTAGTTCTGCTCTCTGATTGGTCAATCTCACTTTGAGGCATAATAATGCATCATATTGCTTGACGAGGGCCCATTATCACGCCCGGTTTTAGGAGGCGTCATATTGATGTTCAATAATGACGTCATCTGGTTTGTTCTATATGTGCTCAATCAAACCAGATGAATTACAATGGAACTAAATGGACCTACATTGTATAACTATTTTCATCTCTGCGGCCGCTCGGTATCCCCGTAAAGTCTGTGAACAAAGTCATGGCTTGCCTTTTGTATCACCGTACTTTATTTTACAATTGTGTATTGTCTGTGAATAAAATTTAAATGTGCTTGCTTTTGTTACTAGGATAAAGATCCGGGGTAGAATAGGTCTACTGCTACCCATGTTTCGCCTTAAAATGCAACTATGCTTGTCGTAAGAGGCGACTAACGGGATCGGGTGATGTATGTCATCCTATTCCAATTGTGTCAGTGATGTCAGTCACTGAATTATCTGGTCCAGACTCTATTATTTACCGCCGTCATACCGCTGGAATATTACTGACTGCGGCGTTAAACAACAAATAAACATACTTGACTTGACTGTTCCATGAGAATCATTTGCAAGACG